ACAATAACAAACTGAGGGACTTTCTTTGCTATTCTGGGCAGGGTGGCAGATAATCCAGGTAAAAATAATTTGGAAGATACATTGAATTGGAGGTGGTTAAGAGACAGGCATGCATGCACAGAAATTTAAAGTCTGGAAGAAGATCAGGACCAGAGATAAGGAAGTGGACAGCATCAGGGCTCAGGGAGTTTACAGGACTTGTGTGAGGTTAGGGACTATGGAGTAATAGCAGAGTAGAGATCAGAATCAGGCTTGTCTGCCTTCGAAGCCACCATGGTGTCACCTTGCTGCACTAGGATCTCCTCTTGTGGATGGTCAGAGAGGTGAAGGGAACCCAGGAGCCAGTGGAGAAGAGAATCTCAGGGAAGAAACTATCAATAATCTAATATTTCAGACTCATCAGGATATGGATAGAGAAAACATCAGGATTTGAGTTTAGAATTAGTTGGAGACATTCAAAAGAATGACTTAATTGCTCAGCACTGATACACCAGCAGGTGTGCAAAGATGATAAGACATAGTCCCCTCCTTTATGGAACCCAAGCATGAACCAAAGTCAGGGGCTTGGCAAAAATTTAATGGTAATAAATTAGACAGTGGTTCAGGAAAGGGAGAGATGCATACAGACCTATCAGCCCCTCTGACACCTTTGAGGAAATTAGAATGTGCCCCTGCCCTTCCTCAGAGCCAGCTCTGTTCTGTGCCAGGGCCCATGGCTTGACAAGCAGGCTATGGTTGAGCAGGCCACCCCTGCCCACTGTAAGTGGAGGCCCTGGAAGGATGAAAACTGAGTGGAAAGGGAAGTTTCATACAGGAAACTGTGACTTAAACTGAGCTGGGCTTAAACTATGTGGGAAATATACTTAGAGCAACTGCAACAAAGGGGTAGAAGGCCTTCTCTGCTGGGAGCTGGGATACCAGAGGCAGGAGAGAAGTGATGGAGAGGGGAAAGTGCAAACCACTTGACTCTTGATGCTCATCTTGTAAGTAGGTGAGTTCATGTAAAAAATTACTGAGCCCTTGCTATGTGCAAGGAGCTATGCTGAAAAGGCTGTTGGAAGGGGATGGTATAACAACCCCCAAACACTTGCACATTGGTTTGTACTTTTAAAAGGCACATCCTTCCTCATCTTTGACATTTGGTCCACTTTCCTGAGCAGGAGGTTGTGGCTGCCCAGAACATGAAGCTCCAAATCTCTACCATTAAGATCATAGCCAAGGACCTGCCCTGGCAGTGCAGCGGTTGAACGCTGGGCTGCGAAGCTGCCCACAGCCTCCATAGCACCAGTTCGATCCCCGGTCACCAGCGAGGGTCCCACATGGCGCAACAGACCTCTCCTGTCTTGCCCGCTGCTCCCCCCAGCAGTGTATTTCGTCAGTCTGCCTGTTCTGTTCCCCGCTCTGGCTCTTGTGAATTCTCTCACCCTCCCATGCTTCTGACTATACCCAGTGCTTGTATAAATGAATAAATAAATTTTTTTTTTTAAAAAAGATCATAGCCAAGACCTTTTGACAAGCCTAGAATTTCTTTTACTTTAACCCTTTCTTCTTCTTCTTAAATGTTTTTATATTTAAGTAATTGCTTAATTACTTGTACAAGAACATAAGGGTAAGTTTCACTTCTCCTGTTCTTCAGACAGCTTGCTAGTTTCATAACTTTAATTTTCATTTCATCCAGTGAGTGACAATAAGACTATATGGTTTAGAGACTATATGTTTTTTTTTTCCCCCCTAGGAAGTGTCTACTCATTTCCTCAGCCCAGTGTTTACTTAGTACTTAACATTTTTTGTTTGTTTGTAAGAATCTCCATATACTAAGTAAGTTGATAAATTAGCTCCTTGATTTTGATGGTAATTGTAAATGTTTTTCTTTAAAAAAAAGATTTATTTATTTATGCATACAAGAGCTGGGGTACAGGCCAGAGGTATGAGGGTTGAGAGGATTCACCAGAGACAGAGTGGGGAGCAGAACAGGCAGATCTACTGAAATACACTGCTAAGGGGAGCAGTGGGCAAGTCAGAAGAGGTCTGCTGTGCCATGTGGGCTAGTTCCCTGGATGGGGATTGAACTTGTGCTGCAATGGCTGCTGATAGCTGTGTGGTGCTGAGACTTAACCCCTTGCACCACCAGGGAGGCCTAATATGTTTTTTTATGTTTACATTTGGTCATTTGTCCCTTGACTTTGATTTTGTAATTTGGTTTTTTCACCATACAGATTTTTTTAAAATGTGTCTGTCTTTCTTTGTAGGATGATTTCCCTGAATCATTCTTAAACTGATGTTAAATACAATGGATCCATACCTTTAACTTGCTCAATAAGCTAGTGGGAAAATCAAGAAAAGTATATAACTATAACAGAAGTTATAATATAACTAGTACTCTAAGGTGGTACAAGTGCTATTTCTTCATCTGTTTATCCAGAATCCTATTATTGATCCATCTGTTCACTCACCCACCCATTTATTTATCTCTCTAAGAGATGACGTTTGATGGTGACGAATTTGTGGTGGTAAAGCAGGAAAACTAGGATGATAGATCTTCAGATCTGAGCCTGGCTCTCTGTTTACCTCTCTGTGGCCTTGGGCATGTTGACTTCATCTCTATCTATCTTCTCTTCTATTTTAGTTCATAAACTATGGTGGAATATTGAATGTGAAGGAGTCAAAGATCAGACAGTGAGGAAGAGATCTGCTAGTGTGTAGCTTAGGGAGAGAGCTGTGTGATGAGTCTGTGCCAGGATTTATGATTTCAGCTGGTGAATTCTGATAAAGTCCAGAGAATGATCACTAAGGCAGATGGCAAAAGGAAAGATCACCGAGTATGAACAAGTCAAGGGACTGGGTGTTGGGTGGTCACCTATAAAGTTTTTGAAATCCCCCAGGATGACGGCGGGACAGGGGCAGAGGAAGGTCTGTGAGCCTTGTGGAAGATGACTCTGCGGAAGGCAGCAAAGGAGACACAGAGTGTGGACAAGCAGGTATTTTTATCTGAGGAAAATGTTCACCCCATCTATGATCCTGAGACTTGAGGAAGTTGTGTCTTTTGAGAAGAGAGTCAAAGAACTGTGACTCTGGAGAAAGGGTCTTAAGTAGCAATCTCACAGCAGATAAGCAAGATGGAATTTAAGGAGAGGACTATTTAATGAGGTTTGAACAAGGGACTCAGATCTTTTAAAGTCTCAATGGCAACTCTTAATAGCATTACCCCCGTGACCTCTCACAATATCCGTGCAGAGACCAGCCCAACTGGAGGAACTTGGAAAACAGTGGGGTGTGTGATTACGCTTCAGTGTCAAGAGGGAATGCAGTGATTCTGTGATGCCTGGAACCAGAGGCACTATAAGCTGGGGCCCGGGGAGAGTCTTCATGCAGTGAATTGACTTAGTTCGTATGATATGTACATAGAAATTGCCAAGACTTTCCTCCTCCCCACACACTAATAAGCCACACCCTGCACCACACAAAGTCCATCTCACTTTCCAGTTGCTCTAGGTCCGTCACCCAGCCAAGGGGAGTTTGTTTTTCCTTGTAATTCAGTGTTTCTAGAAGAGGATGGACTTCTTCCCTTCCCCCTCACTTTTCTGACACAGGTACATATATAATCAGCCCCGTTTTAAAAGAACCACCCACCTGCTGGCCATCTCTCCAGAATCTGGAACTTGGAAAAACAACCTGAAGTTGTAGAAGAAGAAGCTGAGGTAGGATACTTAGAGAAGTTCTTGGGAGGAGGACTAGGCAAGAGGTGAGGGGGTGAGGGAGTGACAGTGGCTGCAGAGTGAGAGAAGAGGTGACTGGGCTTCCTTCTCTGGGTCATCTTTGAAGATGGTTTGAAAGGAAAGGAGAAGTCAACTTCAAACATTTCTCAGTTCTTTGGGCTGCTTTGAGTCCTGCTCTCCTCTTTCTATTTCATTGTGGAAGCTGTGTAACCCTGGAAAGGATGCCGGTTGGGAGAATGACTAGCAGACAAAGATGTTGATGCAGATGGTTTGTAGCAGCAATTGATGGCAGTAGCCACATTCTCATAGTGTGAACCTGAGCCTCCTAGGATCCCAGTACAGGAGAGGACCCTCCAAACTCCTGCCAAATTCTTCCAACTGAGGGCAAAGAGAAGACTTTCAACTTTCAAGTTTATGGTGCTCTGAGTTCTGTCATGATACTGTGGCCTTTTCATGTCTTTGTATATTTCTGTTATTTAGATTTTCTTTGAATTTCAAAAAGGCTTCCAATTTTTCCTCAGAGTTTTGTACATCTTTTGTGTACTTATTTTGGAGAATCTTATATTTTTTGCTATATTTTTTTCGCTACTGCCAGCCCTTAACCCCTTTAGTCTTTTCTGTCTCCCCCTCCCTCCTGACCTCAAGAGGATCACTTTGTTCATCAGAGTTTGCTGGCTTTCATTAAGTATTTTGCTTTGTTGACATGCCTGCTGTGTAAACATCCTGTATTTATCTTCATCATACTGACTTGCTTTACTACATATAATTCCCTTAAATTCCTTCCACTTTGCTGTACATGGCAACTTTTCATATTTCCTCATGGCTGAATAGTACTCCATTGTGTAGATGGACCATGTCTTCCTAATCTAGTCCACTTTCAGTGGTTTCTTAGGTTGTTTCCTGACCTTTTACCTTTGAGATGTAAAAATATTCACAGCAAGCTCCGAAGAGGAAAATAGAATTAGTTTTTGAATCACCTGCTTCCTTTATGAAAAATAGAGTGATTCCAAGTTTAATAAATGCAAGGAAATGAGAAGATGCACGTCAAAGCTGATGAGATGTTTCTAAAATGCACACTGACCCCTGGCTTGTGCCGTCCAAGCCTCGGCTGTATTGATGGAGAGGAGCAACTGTCCCAAGTTGGAGAGCTGGGTCTGTCCACTCCAGGGCTGCGTCCTTCCAACTGGGCCCTCTTACCTGGACCGTCTGTGTTGCAGGCCTTCCAAAGCCCCAGGGGAGAAGGAAGCCCTGTAGACAGGAAGCCTGTGGTGTGGGGTGGATGCCATGGTCTCTTTGCGGGAGGACGGCAAGCAAGAGGACATCTGCCCCATCTGCCAGGAGGACTTGAAGAAGGCTGTGAGCACTGACTGCAGACACCTGTTCTGCCAAACGTGCCTGGCACAGCACCTGGAGAAGGCCTCCAGTTCTGGATTCCTCTGCTGTCCCGTCTGCCGGAAGCCCTGTTCCGAGGGGGTGCTGGGGATGGGCTACATCTGTCTCACTCACCAAAAAAGGGTGCGCAGCTTCTGTGAGGAGAGCAGACTTCTTCTGTGTGAGGAATGTGAGAAGTCCCCGGAACACAAGTCTCACCACGAGGTGACCATTGAAGAGGGCATCAGCCACTACAAGGTAAGGCGGGGTCACCACAGCGAGCCCCTGCCACCCCTCTCCTGCACTGCTCTGCCCTATCTCCAGGTGGGGCTCAGTCACTAACTCTTCTTCTGCTTCATTCTGTTGTGAACTCTTGTCTTTGCTTTTCTTTGTATATTTTGCTACTGTTGTTAAAGTTTCAATGCATTAAAATGCATCTGAGCAGGACACTGTCTGTGATGTCAGATGCCCAAGAAATATGAGCTTCTGTCACTTTGCTCATCTGTAGGATCAGGAGTTGGACTAGATCAGGCAAAACTCTTTCAGTTCTAAACTGGCTGGTAGTACTAGAAATTTGACTAGAACTGTAATCAGGCTTTAGATATGCTAGTAGTTATCATGCAAGTGTATTGAAAACTGGAAATTAGTGCATGATTCTCTCTCTCTTTCTCTCTTCCACCGTCTGTTGTCTTTTCCCCCTTTCTTTTCTATTTTTTTAAAGATTTATTTATTTATTTATACAAGCACTGGGTACAGTCAGAAGCACGGGAGGGTGAGAGAATTGACCAGAGCCAGAGCGGGGAGCAGAATAGGCAGAAGGACTGAAGTACACTGCTGAGGGGAGCAGCGAGCGTGGCAGGAGAGGTGGCTGGGGATCGAACTGGTGCTGCAGAGGCTGGGGGCAACTTCGCAGCCCAGCACTCAACTGCTGCGCCACCAGCGGGGGGAGGCCCCCCTTTCCTTTCTATATCCTACTTCATTTTACTTTTTATTAGAAAAGTTACATGTTTTTAATAATGCATTCAGACAACGCTGTAAGGTATAGAATTAGAACAAAAATATTTCCTCCTGTCTCCTTCTATACTCAGACGCCAGATCATTGTTAGAGTTTTATGTGTCATCCTTTTAGAAGTATGTGTGTGTGTGTGTGTGTGTGTGTAAAGACTCTTTTCAATAGACACACACACACCAGGATATACCAGGATTCTCTATTACTTTTCCTGTAACTCATTTTTATCATCTAAAAATATGTCAGGCCTCGCAGCACCAGTTCAATTCCCAGCCACCTCTCCTGCCATGCCCGCTGCTCCCCTCAGCAACGTATTTCATCACTCTGCCTGTTCTATTCCTTGCTATGGCTCCGGTGGATTCTCTCACCCTCCCGTGCTTCTGACTGTACCCAGTGCTTGTATAAATAAATAAATAAATCTAAAAAATTAAATTTAAAAAAAATTTAAAAATTAAATTATGTCTTGGACATTTTCCCATCAATATGTAAATCTTATGAATTATTTTCAACAACTGTATGGTGCTCAATTCTCTGAATGTACCATAAATTGGCACACAATGGGCTATTCTTAGGGCATCGTTAAGTTTTGAAATTTGCAACATGGAATGTTGCAATGAATAACCTTTAACACAAATTTTGGAGATAGAATATCAAAGATATATTTGGTGTAACTTGAAAGTTTACTTCCAAGTTACAATAGATGAATTTTTCTTATCACCATTTTTTTGAACAATTCATGGCTCCCCCACCAGTTTGAATGCCAACTTCACAATATGCCATGCTTGCACATATTCTTGTATATTTTCTTTTTTAAGATTATTTTATTTATTTATGCATACAAGAGCTGGGGTATAGGCCAGAGGTGTGGGGAAGGAGGCGGGTGAGAAGATTCACCAGAGATAGAGTGGGAGCAGAACACGAGGATCTACTGAAATGCACTGCTGAGGGGAGCAGTGGGTGAGACAGGAGAGGTCTTCTTTGCCATATGGGTTAGCTCCCTGGCTGGGGATCAAACTTGTGCTGCAGTGGCTGCCAATAGCTTCATAGTGCTGAGACTTAATCACTTACACAACAGGGAGGCCCCCATACTTACATATTTTCCTAACTTTATTCTGTTACCTACTTCAGTCTATTTCTGCCTATGCATCAAACCATTTTAAATACTGTATCTTTGCAATATGTCTTAACATCAAGGAGGTCTTAGAACCTTTACAATACTCTTTTTCAGAATTTGTCACTAGTCATCTATGTTCATTTTGTCAATTAACTTTAGTATCATTATACCAACATTTCCCCATCTCCCCAACCTAGTTAATATTTCATGGGATGGAAAGTTGACCTATATTTACAATTGTGTCTTTCTAGCCAATAATTAAAGATACATTTCCAGTCTTCTTTTAGATACTTGATCTTTTCAGAAGACATTATGATACAGGATGAAAAAGTAGGGAGTCTAGTTTTGGAGTGATTCTGGGAAGATAAAGAAATGTCAGACAGCCAAAGAGGCCAAGTTCTAACCTCCTCCCCTCTAGGTGCAGTGTGCCTCAGGAGAGGAAGGAGGGCCTCCCCCTTGCTCGGCCAGACATGAGATGGAGAAATCTCACTCATTCAATGATTTATTCAGGTCTGTGCTTTGTCTAGGATGTTATGTTAGGCATTGTAGGAAGTACAAAGATGATTAATAATTATTGTCCTTAGGCTTACATTTAAATAATGATAGGAAACCCAAAACAAATAAATAGCAACAATATTTGTTCATTTAAGAAAGAGTTACATACGTTCCTGCTATGTGATAGAAACTACAATAAATGGAAGGTAGTGGATGAACAACAGTGTGTCGTTCCTACTGCTGGGGGAAAAAAGACAAGATTTTTACGAGCTAAGAAGAAAAATCAGGGTCTGAGATGGGCAAAGGTGATCAGGGAGTGCCTCATGGAAAAGGTGACATCAAAACTAAAACTTAGAAGAGAAACCAGTCAATGTAAAGTCTGGGCAGAAAGGCAACACATGCAGAACCCTAAGTCTCAAACAGTCTTCTTATATTTGAAAGAATTTATAATTAGAGTTTGAATTGACGGGGTATACTGATGGATTAGAAGTGGTGTGAGGGAAAAAAAGAATCAAAGATTACTTCATGGGTTTTAGTTTCTGGTTTGAGAAACTGGGTGGACAGGGAAAGATAAGGACTGGAGAGAACAGTTTTGAATGACACATCAAGTTACAGTTAGGACAAGTTAGCCCAAGTTGAGACAGCTCTAAAGTCAGATGTTAGATATGCAGCCAGATGTGAAATCTGGATCTCCAAAGAAAATCTGGGGGTAGTATTTGCAGGCGCTAGAATGGGGAACCATCAGAATAAAGATGATAATTAAACCCAAAGGAATTGATGCAATATCCTCAGGAGAGTCTAGAGAGAAAAGAAGTTCCAGGGCCATCATTTAGACATAGGTAGAAAAGGACCCAGCAAAGGTGAGGAGAAACAAAGGGAGTGGTTCCAGATGCTGAGAGAAGAATGTGAAGAAGTGGTGAGCTGGAGGGGCAGACAAGTGAACACCACCTGAAGGAGGTGCTCTTGCAGGGAACAAAAGCAGGTGTCTGCAGGTGTAAGTGGTCTTGTAATTTAGGACATCGTTTAAGAGTTCTGGTTTATTTCCTCAGTATATGAAGATACATGCAAGGAGGGCCTCCCTGGTGGCACAGGCGGTTGAGCGCAGCACTGTGAAGCTGTCCGCAGCCTTTGCAGCACGGGTTTGATTCCTGGTCGGCCAGGCAGATACCCACATGGTGTGGCAGACCTCTCATGTCTCGCTCGCTACTCCCCTCAGCAATGTTTTCGGTCATCTGCCTGTTCTGCTCCCCTCTTTGTCTCTGGTGAATCCTCTCACCCTCCCGAGCCTCTGCCCTACACCCCAGTTCTTGTATAAAAATAAATAAATCTTTAAAAAAAAAAAGTTAAAAAAAAAGATATATACGAGGAAGGAACACCAGCAGTGTGGGAGGAGATGGGAAATCAGAATGTTTCAAAAGAGAGGAAAAGGTGTGGTGTAGTTTGGGAAAGTGAACCTTTGAGAGAAATTGGCAGGCAGTCTGGAGTACCAATTTGCATTTTGAAAAGCTAAAGATTGAATGTGTTTCATGAGGCTGCATGAGAACAGACAAGTTAAAGATGATAAGGATCTGGAGTAGCCTGAAAAGGAATAGGAGAGGCGAGGGAGTTGAGGCTATTTCTGAAGGGGTGAATATAAACAGGGTTCAATTCTGTAGACCCTGGTGTTTGCAGATGTTGATGGCAAATTGATGGTTCTGAAACTTTCTTTTGATTTCTCACCGCATCTCTACTTCTTTGAATTAAATTTAGTAAGTTAAATATTATAAATTGGGTCTTTTTAAAAGGAATTATGTGATCCCTGACTACATACCAGAAAGACGAAAACTTCCACAATGCTACAGTCTTATTTTTCCTCACTGCCTAATCCATATCAGTGTCAATCAGTTTACTATATTTTGCTGGTTCCCTCAGTGTAATAGTGACTACCACTATGCTTGACCATATTCGCTGCTGGTGAGGCGCTTGTCCAGAGAAAGACTTGCTGTCTACATTTTGCCCTGGAATCAAAGCATGTGTTCTACGTGATTACACCAGAGTAGTTATCTTTGGGTGATAAGCTAGTTAAGTTATGTTTGACATCTATTTTTCTCCTGTTATTTCTTTTCTTTTGTATTGCATTTTGGCACAAAAGTTTTAGAACTTCTTAAACCTGTTCTATTCTTTAAAATATATATATTGTCTGTGTCTTACTCAGAAATTCATCTGATATAACTAAACTGTTCTGCTTCACTTTAAAAGATTAATTAATTCCCTGGATGATTTGAAATTTAATGGACCTTGTTGTGTGAAGGATGACTCCATGTTAATTTTTTTTTTTGTTCTGGTATCCAGTTGTCCCTAAAATATTTCTGTTAACAGTGAGTCATTTCTATGTTTATGTGTTGTTTCAGGTTTGACATAAATTCTTTTTTTTTTATTAAACTTTTTTTTTTAAGATTTATTTATACAAGCACCAGATATAGTCAGAAGCGCGGGAGGGTGAGAGAATTCACCAGAGCCAGAGCGGGGAACAGAACAGGCAGACTGATGAAACACACTGCTGAGGGGAGCAGCTGGCGCAGCAGGAGAGGTCTGCGTGCCATGTGGGACCCTCACCAGTGGCCGGGGATCGAACCGGCGCTGCAGAGGCTGCGAGCAGCT